GCGCCTTGCAGTCCAGAGACGCTGGCCTGGAGTGCCGTTCGCTTGAGGATGCACGAGTAGAAATGCAGAGACACACACACGCACGCACACCGGTATGAATGCTTTGGAATGGATCGTGTAGCTAAGCATTTTAGGTAGGTTTTCTTCTTTTCTTTAGGCCGCACTGAAAGACAACTCGAGGGATATGATAAAATGCTCCAAGCATTAATCAAGGGGGGAGGATGTAAGCACTTGCTTGGAAATCAAACTCTTAATGTATCAGCATATGCTTTACGGCATTAACTTGGAACTAAATTTCATGGTGACTTTTTCATGCATCATGAGACTTTTTAAGTATCTTTGAACAGACAACTGAATGTGTGCTAAGGAAATGAAAAATAAAATAAATGACACTCATACAGATCCTGTACAATATTATAAAATTCAGACGAAGTTTGACTGATCAAATTTATCTAATGACAGACAAAAATAATCTGATAAAAAAGAATCAGTCAATGACTATTCACCTCAACCTTACGTTCATTGAAGTGAACCAATTATCTGGTTACAAATTTCACCCCAAAAAAATCAGCAACTGCCCAGCTTTTTTATTTATAAGATCACAATGCAGGCTAACACACACAGAAAGTAAGAGAGTTTTCTTTAGAAAATAAAAAAATAATCTTTCATAAAGGAGTGGGAGGTTACTGCCCGAACACCAATGACTTTTTCCCTCATAGGACTGTGATAACACAGGCTGAGCTTTGTTCAGTGAGCACTTTTCCCCAATGCTGGCTGGCCCTCTAGAGTCAAACAAAAACAGTTCCTCAATGACACAGTAAAGGAAGTTTTAGACGATTAAAAGCTTTTTATAGTGTAATCATTTCATGGGACCTACAAGGACCAAAATGCTATATATATATATAAAAATCAAAAACTTCTGTAAAAAGGAACAAGCTACAACCCACAAGTTGTTATACACATCCCAATTTACAACATAAGCCAAATGAATAATCATGTATCATGATATCGGCTATAGTAAAATTTGTCTTATCAATCAAAGAGTACATAAATATGTACTTTTCAAAGCACATAAAATGTTTGGGCTGCCCATCCAAAGAACAGTGAGCATCAATATAATAACAGCGTACATGTGATTATTATAACAAGGGGAGTCACCTGTAAGATGCACAGCCTATAATGCACCTCTCATCTCACCAAACATTGGACACGTATTCTGTACCAACATGGAGGTGGAGTTAGATGATATATATGTCAATATCTTTTTTAAAGCACAATAAATGAGTATAAGTCTAAGGGGGATTTCATTTTCAATGTGAAATTACCCTTCATATTGAACCTAAAAATCAGGTATATCTTTTCAGGCTCAATTCCTGCTGTAAACTGGTTTGAAACGCTGGAATAAGAGAAACCCTCATTTTCACCCGAAAGAGAGCTAGAATGAGAAATGGCAATGAACCTAGTTGCCTTATGCTTCACAAATCAAGATTTTTTTGGTGTGCTGGTGCATCGTGCACACCCATGATGGCAGAGAGAGAGAAAGAGAGAGAGAAGACAGAGGAAGAGTAGTAAGGCGGAGGTCTAGTGTAACCTCCATTATAACGTAGGGTCTTGAGCGTCAACGTAGATTTCGGTGTTGACGGGATAGCTGGCGAAGCCCACGTCTGTCTTTGTCATTGCGTAGCTGCTCGAGTGTCTTCTGGATCTTGTGTGTCGCCTCGTTCTCGGGGTTCTGGCAGTACTCTGTGGGCCAAGAAAGCAGTGTTATCGCTAATGTGATTGGACTTGGGTTCATACTTTAGCATTACATTTATTCATCTGTTTATATACTACTAATTTAATTTTTCGCTTATATTTCTTTTTGTAAGATACTAATAGTAAAGAAATCCACAAATAGCTCAATATATTTATCCCGCGTCACAATGAACCCGCCATACACACTATATTCACCTAAACAAGCAATGTGGGTCGCCAGCATCTTGGCCACGGCGATGCGGACGTTGGGAACTCTGTCGCTCGCCAGGAGGATCAGGTTCGGGAGGAAGAGTCGGCACCAGTCGGGCAGTGGCAGCGCCTGCTCGGCCACGAGTCTCCCGCACAGGAAGGCATACGACTGCCGCTGCGACCACGTGGAAGCATATGCAAATCGGACCTTCAGCTGTTCGCTAATCGCCTCCACGTACTTTTGGTCGCCCTCGCAGCCTAGTTGTCGCACCAGTTGGCATACCTGGAAAGAAAATGCGACTCAGAACCCCCACGACGAAATTCTTCTCGATACCTTCTGTTACCATAGTCTACTCTCACAGTCCATGAAAGAATCTCCCCGAGAGAAGCACTTACCACAGTGTAACAAGTGCGTCTGATGTGCACCACTTTGTCCGCCATCAGCGCGAGTGTGATCGGCACCAGGAACGTCTGGCAGTCTTGCGGGGAGAACAGGTCGATGATGTCGGCTAACTGGGTCGCTAATTCCAGTCTGAATCGCCAGTTGTTCTCATTGTCGGTTCGCAGGAATTCGTCCATGCGGGGCAGGTAGTCGCGGCGGTTCTGCGGTCTTAGCAATCGCAGGAAGTGAGCAAGGTGCTTCAGGACTCCAATGCGAACCTCGTCCAAGTCCTTGATGAACCCGTTGAACACCGGAACCAAGTCGTTCTGGGCGATCTCCTCCCCTAATATCACAGCTAGTTCGTGTATACTGAATGCTAGTGTTCGCCGCACCTTCCACTGCAGAGAAACGGACAATGAATTAGACTTTTTAGCCCTTTATTATAAAACCCGGACCTATATTTCCATCCCTTGAAACGCAATCACCCCGCTCGGTGTATACGTCATACTCTCTTGATATACTCGGAGATTAACTTACATGCATATCACCAGCTAACGTTTCATAGGTGTCCTTCAAGACGGGCCAGTTCTGTCTGCCGAGCGTTAAGGCCACTGCCGGCAAGGAGTAGGCACAGTGCCGGGTTAGCTCGTTATCGACGGTCTCTGCTCTCATCGGGTCTGTCATGCTGATGTAGTGTTCCAATAAGGTCTGCCAAAATAAACAAGGGCTCTTAGTTTTACTGTTCAGCTAAGTGTTTATCTTCGAATTTCAGGCCAAATGATTATTCAACACAACTACCATGGCCAGAGAAAAGTATGATTATGCACACGAATCAAAATAAAATAGAATCATACACCAATATGTTTTGGGTCCTCAGAATTTTTTGTCTATTTCAGTGCAGTACTACTACGGTATACTTAGTAACAATACATAAAATCTTTTAGTATATCACTGCTTGAATTCGTGGCCAACCAAAACCCTGACCTAGAATCTGCGTAAGACGCGACATGGCTTGCACTCACCTTGGGCACGATGTCCTGGTTCAGGTTGGTGAATTCCGCGGCGCCCGACGAGTGCTCTGCCATGCCCGAGACCTGGTCCCCGCTGCTTCCCGGCAGCATCACTGTGAATTGGTCGACCAATCTCTGGCTCAAGACGGGCGGCTGCGGCGGGAGGCTGGGCCCGGTGCTGGAGGCGCTGGTGCTGCCGCAGTCGCTCGGCGAGACCACGTCCATCTCCCGCTTCTTGATCTCCGTCACGGCGCCGCCGGACATGCTGACGCGGGCCTGCGCGAGGCGCGACGCGAGGATAGACGGTTGTGGCTCACTCTTGTGCTGCACCGACGTCACGGACGCCGCGCACACCTGGGCGTACGTCGCCTGCTGCGGCCCCGAGACACTCACCACGGTTGAGCTCTGCAACAGGTCGTCAGGTGAGGAATTCCATAAGCATTACGAAGCACAAAAAAGAGAATCAGACTTTTTATCTATTTCACTCTTTGGTAGCTTGTCAGAAATCAAAACAATTAAAGGGACTGGCCAGTTTAAGTAAAAGCGGCGCAGATAATGAGAGTCGTACCTGACTATCTTTATTACTGGATTTTGAGTCTTGTAAGGCATTATCATCTGTACTACTTTCTGTGGTTGTCACGCCTTCTAGGGAAGCTGCAAGGGCGTCTAACTCAGCCTGGAAAAGTGAAACAAATAAATAAGTAATCTCTCCCGGCACAGAAACACTCATGTTGACCAATCAAAAGCAGATGCGCAAGAGGCTCTACCGAAACCACTACGGGCTCACCTCTATCGTGGTGCCGGGCGGCCTGTCGCCCGCCTGCTTGTCCTGTGGCGTGGGCGCCAGCGTGATGTTGGGCGCGCCCGTGTTAGTGGCCATGGTCAGGTTGACCTGCGATTGGTACGTGCCGTCGTTCTCCTGCACCTTGGCCTTGACGCACACGTTGGTCGTCTGGCCCATGATGTCGATGTCCACCTCGATCTGCGGGATGGGCAGCTCGATGGGCATGATGGGCGTGCGCCAGTAGTTGAAGGTGTTGAAGGCCGGATTGTTGTCGAGGTGGACGTGCAGGTGGCCCTCCGTGCCCGACACGGTGAGCGAGTTACTTGGCGAGGCGCCGCCCTCCATGGCACCAGGCAGCGAGTTGGGCGGCACCGGCACGGCCGCGCTCGGGGCCACCTCGCCCTTCGCGCTCGACACCCTGCTGGCGTCGTCGATTCTGTCGGGCGGGTCGGAGGCCGCTGAGCCGCGCGCCGCCGTCGCCAGGTCCTCCTTGGGCTCCGCGTTTGATTCGACGCTCGAGAAAATGTAGGCGCGCGCCCGCCGCTCCTCCGCGCTCTGCTCGTGCCCCCCGTCCGGCGGTTGCAGGTCCTGTATCATGTCCGGCAGCTCCTCCACCTCCATGGGCTCCACCTGTGCGTTGAAGTCTGGCGTCCGGCCGCCGCCCCCGCCGTCGCACACGTCCGGCTCGCACTTATCATGGTGCGGGCTCTGGGTCTCGAACGAGTGCCCGCTGGACGCGATCTCCTGCGCCACGCTTGGGTCCTCCTCCTGTTGGTGCGGCTCCGGACTCTGGAGGCTGATGTGGTCCTGCGCCGGGGGAGCGTCGTGCTGGGGCTCGTCGTCTCCTCTCCCGGACACCACTACTGTGTCGGCATTCAAT